GTGCTTCCGGATCCCTGGCGACTGCAATTCTGGGTGCGAGGGAAAAACGAGTCCATCGCACTTCGTGGTTTACATGACCAACCCGTAACAACTGGCTACCTGCTGAGCCCTTGTTCCGGCAATCGTGTCGTGTTTGAATAATTCTGCAGGAATCCTGAGGATCGATCGGTTGTTTACGGCCCGGAACGCCTAATACGGGGTCTGGTCGGGTATTCTCTTATCCCCTGTTCAGAAGCCAATAAAGAAGCTTTTGGCAATGATTTACAAGGGAGGTTTAGACGGACATGCTGAAACTCGCTCCATCCTTTTCACTCTTCTTGCCTCTTCCACAGGAGTGCGACCTGTGTAAGGTACCGCTCCAAGGAGCGGAGAACCCTTAGACGGGGAGACACAGATCGAGTCAGAGCACAATATCGACCGATAAAATCCTCATCGACCGCCACAGCCTCCGCCATCGGGTTCTCGACGATCTCGAAGCTCTCGCACTGCACAGTCATGTTCTCGATGACATGCCAGAGCATATGAATCTTCGGAATCATCGTGTACCTCAACTCGCCAGCATCCAGCGACAGCCGTGCCAGGCGAGAGTAAGCCGCCAAAAAGTGCCTGCCAGCAGATGCAATCCTTGTTGCCTGGGCAATCTCCAGCCAAAGGCCGGCGGCATACAGCAGCTTCATGAAGAGATTCAAAGCACGGCTTGAGCTCGCAATCAATCGATCCCTCTCGTCAGCACTCTTGTCAAGCTGCTTGAAATTGCAAAACCACTCCACGAACTGGCAAAGATTCGTCGTCAGCTGGCCTTTGTTCCAGCCACCAAGTGAATCCTTCGCCTCCGAACTGTAAGCCAGCGTGTCCCTGGTAATTCGCTGAATGTAGTTCGTTTTTCGATTCTCCTTGGCGGTAGTTGAAATTCCCCCCAAAAAAAGAATGCATGCATTCTTGGAGTCTACACCCCCGAAACGAATACAAACATTGAAGGGAGCTTGAGAATCTTACAAGCCAGGAGTCTCTGCAAAACTCAATGTACCAGCTTGAAAGCTGAGCCAATCGCTCCTCGACTGAATTTCCAGGGCAGTGCTTGAGGAGGATGACAAGTGAGCTTGCAGCGAAGGTTTTGCCGGCTCCCATACTGACGGTGTGGAACAGATCCACCTTGTGGAACGATTCTTTCTTGTCGGGCTCATGCATCAAAACCCGTGTGAACACAGGCTCCTGTGCCCAAGGCTGCACTCGGTAAAGGGTGCCTGCATAGGCAGGAGTTCTGGACCTGCTGGTCTGTTACTTTGAAAACTGACCAACAAGCAACATGAGGGAATTATTACTGTTTGTTTGTCGGCATATCAAAAAACAAACACTATATGAGCAAACTGAAGCAGAGGTGCAGATCCTCATAAGGATACCCCGGTCTTCCAGCGAGGCACAAGTGGCAGATGCCGGTGCACGGTTTCTTGCTTGTTGCAGCCTTGGGGCCGTTGTAAAACGACCTGTCCAGCTTTGCAGAGGCAACCTCAAACACTGTCCACAGCTGCTGTTGGGGTGGCGAGACATCCCGACATCCTACACCCTCTATCAGCCCTATATAGAAGCAGTTTCTTATATAACTATGGAGCAAAAAAACCAAAACAACTTCGAACCCAGACATTTTAACACAAGCCCAGCTCAAAATGTCCCAGTCGCGAGGTATGACCAATCACCCTTTTGCCCCAGAGGAATCGGAAAAACCCTGCGGCCAGACCTGAGAACCACTCCCTGCCGGCTCGCATTGTCCAGCGATCTCACAGCAGTTTCGATGACCTCATCGTACATCTCCGGCTGCAGTCGATACTCTTCCTACCAGCAGGCAGGTCAGTATTTGGATGGTTGTACATAATCTGAACCGATAGAAACCCAAACTTAGGCAAATAATTTGGGCCGGTTTATGAAATTCATACAGTCCTTCATGGCGGAAATCAGAAGGAACCTCGTTTCAAAAGAATGGCCCACATAGTTCAAGCGTTGGCGAGCATCCTCCCCAATGTCAGCCAGGTCCCCCAGCTTAGTGGTCCGTGTCCCCTTCCCCAGGGGACACTGCAGAGCGATGCAGAGACAACCGTCCTTCTTGTAGGTCGTCCCCTCGTCACCGTGTAGGTAGACGGGGATTGCATTCTGTAGGTCCACACCACTCTGGAACACTTGATGTGAACCGTGCCCCGTTCTGAAATTTGTCCAAAATCTTTCGAGGGTCGCTGGCATAGCACTCTCACCAACAGAAACAAGGTGATGCAGCTTGCCTTTCAAGTCTAAAGTCTGTATCCACGAAGAAACCTCGATGTAAGGGTACTGCGTGAAGCCGCCCAGTGTGGTAAAGGATATTGGAACATCCAGTCGTAAGCCATGCCTCGCCAAGGCTCGAGAAACCACCGTTTCCTGAGGATCTGAATTCAACCCATTTCGTTTGTAACGAAGAAACCTTGAAAGTTTTCGGGCTTCAAGCGTGGGACAAAACAAGCTAAGCTTTTAGGCTTCGGGGTTGAGCATCGGCCAGCCGAGGATCAGATTTAGTTTCGGAAGCCCCATAAAGATCGTGGAGCACAGGGCAAACTCGCCTGACAGCTGCTCGCCCGGGGCCTTCTTCTCGAAGGTCGTAGTCCATGATGGCATTGGCCTCCTGGATGATGCCAGTGCATGCAGCCTCAGATATGCAAAGTTCTATAGCAACCCGCGACAACACCCCACCCTAAATCCTAAAGCCCTTTATAAAACTCCATGTATCATATAAACCGACAAGTCCCTCAACCCAACCCTTAGCAACCCACGACAACACCCCACCCTAAATCCTAAAGCCCTCTATTAAACTCCATGTATCATATAAACCGAAAAGTCCCTCAACCCAACCCTTATAACACTATACAAGGACCATGTAGAGCACTCTACCTTTATACAGCTACCCTACAAAGCAGTAAGCGTGAAGTGTTGCTTCAGTGGCCATGGCCGACGAGTGGCCCCGGTGGCATAATTCCAAGCTAGTCGCTCTGCAGCAACACTGGGACCTGGCATTAGGGAGCATTTCTATATAGTCGCGATACAGGGTTGATGCTTCGGGTTCAGGTTTAGAGAAGTACGATGCATCGGCGTATTTTTTTCTTCGGCAGGGCAACGGTGGAAGTCTCACGGCTTGCAGGGGCAAAGTCTTGTGCAGTAGCATGTGTATTCACACACTTCCTGTTGGAACTTCAAGCGATCCTTTAACGATCACTCTGAAAATGCGATCCTTTAACGATCACTCTGAAAGTTGAAGCGACCGGCTAGCGATCACTGGGTTTTGGTCTTCTTAGGCTTGGCCTTCTCTTTGGGTTTCGGGGTTTCCTTTTCCCTCTCAGCTTCGACATCGGCAGGTCGCTTCCGGGACCGTACATCACCCACGATCAGCCTGGGAGCCGGGGATAAATGGGCTTAGCATAGTAGGTCCTATGGGGTTCAGTGTGTCTCAGCAGCAAGACATTTACCAAACCGAGGGGCTTGATGCGGGATTCCAAGGCAATGAGATCGGCACACCTCAGAGATGCATGTTAAGACTCGTCGGGTTTTTTGGCTTGAAGCATCCGAAGGTTCAGAGGGCATTTGTGCTTTCGGGATCCTAAAAAATGTGTCTGCACAAGGTGCTATAGTTACACATAAGCTTCGTGTGGTGTTTGGTAGTGTTCTCTTGTGTGTATAGGGTTTAAGGTAAGGGTGCCACGGTTTAAGGTTGCGGGCAGGGCGTGAGCACAAAACCGGAACACTGCGGCCAAAGGTCGGCTTCTTCACAGTGTTCCGGACTGCATCGATCTTCTGCTGCAGCCTCAGATATTGTGGCTTCCAGCATAAAACCGATACACTCAGAAAATTCGGTGGGTCGTTTTGCATCAGCACTCAGACATCTAGTCCATGGCAGCGAGACGTGCATTGAAAGGCTCTGCCTTGAAGGATTGATATACAAAGTATGTGAAGAAGGGCCCTTGCAAGTGGTCACACACAGTGTCCCCGCCATCTCTCTCGTTGCGACAGCCTTGCTGACCTTGGATAGTTTGAGTGCAAGGGTTTGAAAACAACAACCAAACTGCAATCCCTTTCTATATACATATGTCATTGAAGCGAGGGGCCTTTGAACCTTTGTATCAGGGCGGCTTCGAGGAAAGCCGGGCCCATTGTTTCGGCGGAGGCGTATATAACAACCATCTGCTGCCATCTTTGTTTCTCGTACTTGTATCCAAAGGATTTGTTGTGCCACCTGTTGTGCGGGTTGTAGGAGAAGCCGATTTTATAAACCATGGGTCCATGCAGCCTCAAAGTCTCGTCGATGATGTTGACCCCATGTCGAATCACTTGACCTGCTATTGCATTGGCTTTGGGCAGTTTTATGATGAACTCCTGCTCGGCAACCATTTTCTCGAACACTTCACGGGTTCTCGGCAAACTCATTATCTTCGAGTCCAAGCGGATGGCCAAGGTATCAGGCACTGTCACCTAAGATTGACTGCCAGTGCTACCCCAAAGGCCAAACACCAAACAAACCACCTCTACAAGGCCCAGCTGCTGGCAAGACTGGCGACGTCGAGGATGATGGCTCCAGCGAGCTTCTCTGGGCCTTTAGGTTAGATACAGCTTCAGTGAATTCGGGTGAGGCTAAAGTTGCATGCTTTGCGACTATTGAGGCAAGATTCCCTAGTGTACTCAAGGAGCTCATTCAGCCAGCTTGCATCGTCATCGTCTTCTTCGGCGGGCATAGCTCTCAAAGCCGAGGAGCCACTCATAAAGATCATAAAGTAGGGAGCAAGTGCTATAACTTTTAAGGCATCCCGTCGTTGTTTCACATGGTCTGAAGCACTGCATGCATGCAACCGATCCACCAGACTAGATCTTCATATTCGTCAACTTGAACAAGACAGTCACACATTGTCGTGCTTGACAAGTCGCTCACATTCTTAGTGCAGCGTGGCAGCAAATAAGTGCTGACCGAGAAACACCGGACCAGCAGTCTCCTTCTCCTGCAGCGTCAAATCAGCCTTGAAGTCGGCGAGCTCGCGGAAGCAGGTTCTGAAGGTGTCGTCGACCTTGTCGAGGTCCTTCATCAACCTCGGCTGTGGGTTGGGGCTTTGCTTTTGGCATATCCTATATTTAGGGTTTAGGGTTTAGTGTTTAGGGTTTTGGGATCAGGGTTTAGGGTTTAGGGTTTTGGGTTCAGGGTTTAGGGTTTATACAGAGATACACAAAGGGGAAGGTTTGAGAGATACGGTTTTCGGTCCGGGATTGCTTTTGGGTACTTAGCCGGGCCTGGTTCGGATTCAGGGATGTAAACCAACAGTGTTGCAAAGCTTCGGTCCCTGTGCAAAGCGAGAATGTCTATCGGCTTGGTGTTGGTGTGGTCAAGGTTAGGGGGCTTATAGGGTTTATGGGCTTATGCGAAACCAGAAAATCGTCCATGTAAGCCCCCAAAGCCCAGATGCCTGGAATTGCTATATACAAGCTTAAACTCATATGCACCCTGAAACCCCTGAACCCTTAAGCCTCCACACCTTTGTACCCCTAAACCCCTGAGCCCGAGAATCCCTGTATGTGCGAACATCTGAGGCTAAGAGACTCTTCCTTTGCCGGTGGCAGCTTGCCTGACTCCGAATCCTGGATGCTTTTCTGTGCCTTGCCGATATTGGCCATGTGCCCATGAACCGTGTCCATGAGCTTGACGAGCTCCGGGAGGCGAAAGGGGTTCGAGGTTCGGCGTGAGGGAAGCAACCCGGCCTTGGTACCCACGGTGTCAGCCACGGGGGCCTGTCCTTTCTCGTCCGTCCAGTCCATGTCACCCGGCTCTCGCGGGGCAGCATCAGAGTCTTGCACCTGAGCAAGTTAAGTGAGTGTGTGTGTGTGTGTGTCTGTGTCTCTGTGTGTGTCTGTGTGTCTGTGTGTGCGTGTGGGTGTGTGTGTGTGTGCGTGTGTGTGTGGGTGTGTGTGTGTGTGTGTGCTTCGGAAATGCACATGTAGCGGGTGTCAGAGCTTCATGCGGCCAGGCATCTCCCAGGTGGGTATTTTCATGGCGTTTCAGGAGCTCCGATTGCTTGATGACTTGCTTCGTGGAAGTCTCCACGAAGTACTCCAGTACAGCAGCATTGTACTTCCATTTTCTTAGATGTACATGGGAACAAGATGTACATGGGACCAAGGTCAGGAGCTTTTGTGGGAAACCGAAAACATGTACCTATAATATGAATGAATGCATGCAAGATGCCGGCACAGTGCCTCGGGAAACTTAGAACAGTAGGCGATGATCGACTTGATCTCCAGCCTCAGAAATTACAATGCAGCTTTTATATAGTCCCTATATAAGCTATTGCTTCACAACAATGGACACTTGAAAATATTTGAATGAAGTTGCTTGCTGTACTCTCCGGACTTCACCATTCTTTCTTCTGTCATCCACTGTCCACTGATCTCCTTCTCTTTTAACTCCATCCGTTCCCGGATCACCTTCACGGTGGTGCGGAAAGCAGCCTTGGGTTCTTGTGTACGATTATAGTGCATCAATCCCAGATCATATGCAGAGGAATCAACAATTCGGACCAGGTGCAACCAGCCTCTTGTGGGCCCCCTTGGTGCCCTCCATTCCAGTCTGTTGAAGACTTTCTAGCAAAGCCATTTCTAGCCACTCGCGACCGGAGCCGCCCTGTTGATATTGACAACGAACATCTTCGTCAACGTGCGATTTCCTAGTCTTGGCTTTGAGCTCGCAGAGGCGGCGAAGCCTCATGCGTAGTGCATCTTGAGATATGGTCTCGGCTGCATAGGTCATAAACCGGATTACACATGCAAGCTGTTATGTGACTCATGGCAAAGCGAACCTCTATAGTTTCAGCCTGGTTGCAACCGTTCCGTCGGGTGACACCACCATCGCCTTCGTGCTCCCTGCATCCTGTGTCTCCTCCTCTTCACTCTCTTCTTCGTCGGCCACAGAAGCCAAGTCCGTAGTGCTTGTGCGAGCGACTGAACTGGGTGCTGGGCTGGGTGTCTTTCGGCTTAGTCTGTGCTGCGGTGTTTCCAAGACATTGTCGGGGGAAGGGGCTGCAGCTTTTGTTGAGCTCAAGGTGTCGACCTGGCTTTGCAGCTGGCGAATCTGTTCCATCAGAGCAGCTACATCTTGCCGCCCCTCAGTTGCATTGGGACTGCTCGTGTGGACTGCTTCGGGCTGTTGCTTGTTGTCTGCTGGGTTTTGCTTGGGAGTCTCTGCGAGGCCTTTAGGGGGACTGCTCGTGCGGACTGCTTGGGGCTGTTGCTTCTTGTCTGCTGGGGTTTGCTGGGGAGTCTCTGCGAGGCTTTTCGGAAGACTGCTGACAGCGACCTGTTTCGGGCTTTCTCGTGGCTGCTGGGATCCTACGGATGCCAACTCGGGTGCAGCAGGAATCGACTTCGGCCCCAACTTGTCCTGCAGCAAAACTACGAAAACAGAGCTCCGTCTTGGACTCAAACAGACACATCTGAAGCAAAGGCACGTGGTGATCCCCGACCGGGCGGGCCATGAACTGCTGGAGGGCTTCGGGGTCCTGGGCTGGGTTTTCGGTTTGGGGTTCATACTTGAAAGGGTGCTGTAGGGGTTTATATAGGGCGTTTATGGGGTCTATAGGGTTTAAGTATAAGCTTCTATATACTTGTGTAACAACCTGCAAGACCCAGTTCCGGATGGGCGGCTGTTCTGTCTAGGCTTGCTAACAGGTACAAGGATTAAGGTTCTTAGCTTCTTGGGTGCCGGGACTGCTTAAATATATGGTTTATACCAGGTACAAGGGTTAGGGTTCTTAGCTTCTTCGGTGCCGGGACTGCTGCGATATATAGGGTTTACACCAGGTACAAGGGTTAAGGTTGTTAGGTTCTTAGGTGCTGGGACTGCTTAGATGTATATAGGGTTTATACAGTCAAGTCTCTATGGTTTAGGGCTCAACCCATCAAGGCTCTATAGCGAAGTTTGCTGTCTCGGCACGGCGGCTTGTGTCTCCTGCGAGTCAGGATCCTTCTTCACCTCTGCAACCATCTCCTTCTTCACGGCCAGCAGCTTGGAGAAGGGAGCCTGCGTGGCCGGGCAGATCGGGCGAATCATTAATTGTGGTGTGGGTCCCTAACCAGGCCTGCGGGTTTTTCAGTACAGCTTTGGCCTCCTTGCAAACATGTGTTTCTATAGTCTGGTCTTTACAACTATATATTTATACCCTAAACCCTAAACCCTAAACCCTATATTTATATATATTAAGCATGCAGACACACTCGGGGCTTTCAACATGAACGGCTCCTGAATGGCCTGAATCAAAGCCTCCTTGCTCAAGAAGGAAGGCTCGATTGCCAGCTCTAGTCCAGCAAGATCAGCAGCAAGACTGGCCCCTTTAGCCAGGTCTGCTGCTGACCACTTAGAGTCCCCCATGGTTTCCGTACCCAAAGCAAAATGCCAGGGCAAAAACTGTGTAGACTTGAGAGCAAGCAAAGCAGGAATTCACGGGATCACAGAATGGTCGAACACTGCTGCAAGACTCTCTCATGAAATGCAGACACTGAAGACCACCTTCGTTTGTTTGTTTCAGGTCTTGGTACAATTCCATCTCGAATTCGCAGCTGAACTGGTCACATGTCATCGACTTCAAGTGTTCTCGGGATTTGGGGACAAGATATCTGCCCTCTGTATATTGTACAACTATACGGAATGGGTTCGTTGCTATTCCGAGTACAGAGAATGAAGTATTTTGGGGTGGACCTGGGACAAGACGTGGGGGGTTCGGGTGCAGGGAGTGAGCGGGGGTGGGCCGGACTGGCAAAATCGAGGGAGCGAGTTCCTTTGAAGCCTGCTGCACTGGCCAAAACCGGCCCGGAGCCGGCCCGTGGAGGGCAAAACCGGGCAATTTTGGGTCCCGTCGCCGAACGGGTCAAAGGCGTAAAAAGAACGTAATGGCGAACGGGTTGCGAACGGGTTGCGAACGCATTTTGAACGCATTTCGAACGCCTTTTGAACGGGTACGGCTTGATGGCGGCATTTTTGCGTATTTGGGGTTGTTCCCGAACGGGTCCGAACGGGTCGGTACGGGTCCGAACGGGTTGGAACGGGTTAAAGGGTTTTCGAAACCCAAATTGAAAAAAAAACCCAAAAAAGCTTCCCATCGCTGGCCTGTGGGGCTGGGCTGGGCTGGCTGGCTGGCTGGCTGGCCTTCTGGGGCTCCTCACTGGGCTTGGCTGGGGTTGGGGTGCCTGGGCGGGGCTGGCTGGGGTTTTGTGGCAGTTTGCTGGGCTGGCTGGCTTGGGCCTGGCTGGGAGGGCTGGCCTGTCTATGATAGTGTCAGACGAGCAATGTGCTTGTTTGTCATGGAACAGGAGCCACCGGGGTTGGCCTAGCTTCGGGCCTTTCACGGGGTTGTTTTTCATGCACCTGCTCGTCTGTCATGGAACAGGAGCCACAGAAACACAGCACCATGAACATCATTGGGGTGGGTTTGGCCTTTCTTCGGGCCTTTTTACGGGGTTGTTATCATGCCAAACGAGCGATCTGCTCGTTTGTCATGGAATAGGAGCCACACAAACACAGCATCATGAACATCAGCGGGGTGGGGTCGGCCTTTCTTCGGGCCTTTTACGGGGTTGTTATCATGCCAAACGAGCGATCTGCTCGTTTGTCATGGAACAGGAGCCACACAAACACAGCATCATGAACATCAGCGGGGTGGGCTTGGCCTTTCTTCGGGCCTTTAACGGGGTTGTTATCATACCAAACGAGCGATCTGCTCGTTTGTTGTGGAACAGGACCAACACAAACACAGCATCATGAACATCGGCGGGGGGGTTGGCTGCCCGTGGTGCTCGGGGGCGGGGATAAGGGGGGCTGTCTAGTCCATTTGCAAAGTGAAGAACCCTTCGGGGAATATAGGAAAACGAAAGATATCTCAACTGCATGGTATCAAGTCGATGACAATAAGTGACTCAGTTCAGCTGCAAAAGATTGACACCGAACAGAAGCAGTATATTCCTGCAACGGCAGCTTTTCAGCTTTACGTAGTCGTGAGACTCTGTCGAACCCAATATAATACTCTAGAGACCCTTGGATCCCCATAAATTATCCGATCCCTAACTGAGGCCCTATCTACACAATTTGTCAACCCTATGCACAAACCTTGTGTCCTTACATTGGAAGAATTTCTGAGTGCTTGGTAACCGTACTACCCACCTTGGGATCTAGCAACTTGATGCCCTAGCTACACAACCGAAGGCTTTCCAGTAATCTGCGACAGCAGCATGACTCCTTCAGAACTAGATGGGTCTTCTGGTGCGGGCATCCATCCCCTCTTTGATTATGGGTTTAGGGTTTGGGGTTTTCTACACAGACCTGGAACTCGGACTGTGCAACCTTTTCGTCGCATCATATATATTTTATACATATATATATACATCTACAGATAGGTTGATTCGATTTTCCACACTACGTATAACGGCCTGTACTCGACGAAAAGGTGCACAGTCTCGAGTTCTTAGACTACACAAGGTTCAAGTCTTTGTGAGGTTTTTGGGGTTTCGGAGTACATATGTGCTCGGGTCATCGAAGCCGAGCAGATAGCTCGCCTACAGAGGGCTCAGCGATCACAGTGCCCGGGCAATGCAACGGTCTCTTCGTATAGGAACTGTACATGATGTGGCGGCGAAAGGGTTCTGGACCGGCCGAGGAGTCTATATAGGGTTTATGGGCTTTAGGCGGTTTAGGGTTTGTATATGGGATATATAGGGGCCATTTAGGGAACTGAAGAGTACACCGACCATCCTACATAGCCCCTGCCATCCTACCCTGCCATCCTACATAGCCCCCGCCACTCGGGAGCACATCGTTGCTCGCCACTCAGGAGCACGTATGCCCAGCTCGGTCGCCACTCAGGAGCATATAGTTGCTCGGCTCGGTCGCCACCTGGGCAAGCAAGGGGTTTAGGGTTTAGGCTTTATGGGGTTTAGAGAGAGAGAGAGAGAGAACAAGAAGGCTGCATGCTGCACCGGCACCGACATGAAAGCCAATCGCTCGAACTCTGCATTGCATGGACAACCTCAAGCACAAGCTGAGCCAACTAGCACAGCCTTTCACCCACAAGAAGTCCAATTAAGACTCGGAGCAGACGACATTGTGGTTAAAGTTCCGAGGTTCCTGGTGCCGAAGAACACAGTGCCACTGCAACCTGGGATGGAGCGGCGGGTCTCATCTGCATGAAGAGGATGGGGTGACTATATATTAAGTGGGTTGATAAACTACATTTTGCGAATTGGCTCGTTGCTGTCAAGCATCTGTTGCTGCTGCGACAGTAAGTTTGCAAACCAGGGCAGACCGGCATGCGACCATGGCTTGCCATGCTTCTAAACCTTGCACAAGAAGACCTCGATCCTTCCTGCAACCCCCAATCTAACTTAACTGAAGCATTGGTCTAGCCCGAGTTTCCCTATGCAACGACCAGACACTTCAAAGCAGGCTGGCGACAGGAATCCAGCTGTTGCAGCAAGTCGGATTGTCGGTGTTGGGGTGCATATACATCTTTGGGGTTTCAGGGTTTGTGTCTGCGTGAGGATTTCTGGGTTCGGGACTTCAGAAAATCAGTTGCAGGAATGGAACAGGGCTTATAGTACAGGGCTGTATAGGGGTCGTACTTACGATTTGATGCTAAGAGCCTGGCCCTCGACATAGAGGCATCTGTGATGTTTGTCTGGGTTCAAGGTTTATAGGGTTACCTGTGGGTTCAAGGTCCGAGCTCGAGAGCTTAAGGTCTGGATTATCTCGGGTTTAGTTTAGGGTTACTCGTGGGTTTCAAGGTCCGAGCTCTATAGCTTCAGGTCTGGATTATTTGGGTTAAGTTTAAGGTAACTTGTGAGTTTGAAGGTCCGAGCTCTATATAGCTTAAGCTCTGGATGATCTTGGGTTTATTGCCGGGCTATAAGGTGAATATTCTTTCAAGGCATTAGAACACGTTGTGGGTTCGAGGACAAGTGTAGGGCACCAGGTCTTAAACCGGCAGTTAGGCTCAGCAGCTGTGCAAATTCCTGAAAGCAGACAAGCCCCATATAAACTCCCTCGCACCCTAAAACCCTATAAGCCCTGAGCCCTTCCTATGGCCTATATACATCTACCTAAACCCTATATAGAACCCTAAAGCATATAAGAGTATACATCATATACTCGGTAGGTCCTAAAGACCTGGAACCGTCCGAAGCACAGGACCATGAAGTCATGGCATACATATGTAGACGAAATGGTCACCCCCGGCACAGAAACAAGCACATCCATATCTATGTCAAAACACTGCACACACCCTGAGAATGTAAGCATCGACAAAAACCGTAGGCGTGAGAAGCACACATGCATGCATGGATATGTGCATCCCGAAGTTCAGACACATCTATACATCATGTGCTTAGAACATGCATCGGTTCTGACACACACACATGCTAGGTTACAGGCACTGCATGGCGCTATAAAGATACAACCTTAGCTACAGCATAGCCTACAAGGGCTCGGGTCTATACCACTACGGGATACAAGGGGGGTTCTGTCCTAACACACAGAAGCCTTCGGAAGCTTTATAAGAAGCCTCGAAAATACCAAAGCCCAGAACCCTATATACACCCCACCCGAATCAAGGCGGCCATGCGATCAAGCAGAAGGTTCTCTGCTTCGCCACGGGGTCTCTTCGGCATCTCACCTGGCAGGAGCGAGTGAAGTACACAACCAGTCGAGGTTCAAAGGTCGTGTGCACTCTAAGTCTTTGGACGGGATTTTTTTGATTGGGCCCACAGGGAACGATTGGCGTAAATCACCGTAGCTGCTGCCTTTACCCCGGCAGTCCACGGGGAAACTGCAAGCGAATTGCTTTGGATGTTCGAAAGCTAACACCCAGCACGTCCACACATTGTGTGCACATGATAATGACCATACCCTGCACAGCGGCATGCCTGCAACTCCTAAACTCAGACATCTAAGCCACTGTGTCAGCTAGCCAGCAAACATGCAAGGAAAAGAGCTATATAAACTTGTCGAGCACGATTTTAGGGTTTAGGGTTTAGGGTTTAGGGTTTAGGGTTTAGGGTTTTGGGTTTAAGGTTTAGGGTTTAGGGTCTAGGGTTTAGGGAACTAACATGGGATACACCCTGGGGCGATATCTGCTGGCGACACAAAAGCTCTGGACCCCGAGAGTGTCTTAGACACCCCAGCCACTGAGAGCCTCAGCATGTGCACTCGAAGACACAGTCCTGTAATGGACCAAAGCTTGACAATCGGGCGGCACGGAGGTGCCCAGCACATTCACCAGCTGAGCCTCAGGTTCATGTGCCATTGGGAGGTCAGACACAATTGGGTTTATAGGGTTTATATAGGGGGTTGGGGGTTCAGGCTTTAAGATTTATCTTATATATAGGGTTTAGGGTTTAGGGTTTAGGGTTTAGGGTTTAGGGTTTAGGGTTTATTCTGTAGGACACACTAACACAGCCAGGAAACCCAGTATCTAGCAAGAATCATGTTGGTCCCAACACACACCGTCGGGCGTGAGAAGTACACGACCTGCCTGAACTCCTTGGAGCCTGGACTCTTGATCTTGATGCCCACAGAGGCCCTGCTCCAATACAACTCAAATCGCATGTCCGTCGATGGGGGCACGAGCTTTTCGACGTGGTTGTGCTTGGCCTTCTTCCCCAGCTGGTTGCAGGAAACCAAGCAAGTCATGATCTCAAAGATAAGAGCCTTCCGAAGATGATCCGGGTTGGGCAAGTCGCGATTGTGGGCAGCCTTGGTGAAGTCCACTGGGCTGGGCTTCTGCATGGACTCAAGCAGGCTTGCTGTCCTCTGCTTGGCAGCAGCAAGCTTCTCGTCACCGGCAGGGGATGCCTTCCCTTTCGAGTGGCACTGCTTTGATCCCGGCTCCTCTGCTGCATCCGGCTCGGCACGTGCTTTCGCCTTGGCTTTCCCCTTGGCCTTTGGAGAGGCCTTGGCCTTGGCCTTTGCAGAGGCCTTCGGAGAGGCCTTTGCCTTCGCCTTTGCAGAGGCCTTCGCCTTGGCCTTTGCTCGGCCTTGCTTTCCTGCACCAGCAGCCTCATCCTCATCCTCCAAAGGCCGCTTGCGGCGGAGAGGAGGCACCTCGACAGGCCCCGTGCTCCCGGAAGTGTGCTGGCCTTCCAGGGTGCCATCCGATGCCTTCCTGACGATCTTGCTCTTGGCCGCCGTCGCACGACCACGACCACGACCTCGTCCTCCTCGGCCGCCTCGGCCTCCCTTGGAGTCCTTGACGGCAAACTGGTCCCGCCTGGTTACGGGCTCGTGTTCTGGAACATCAGGGAACTCCGACGTGTCGGGCATGTCTGCAGTGGTCTCGGGCTCGGGCGAGGGTGGCTCCTGGAATCGTGAACCCGGACGGTTAAGAGAGATCAAACAGAAAAATAGATACAGAACTTTTGCGACTAACAACTTTGCAACCTATGTACAGTGAACCCACAGCCGGTCCAGATCAGGAGAATCCTGGACATCCTGCTCTGCATCATGCTGGGGGGCAGCTGCTGCGACCAGATTGGCATCTTCACGTGCAAGCAAATCTTGGATGTAGGGGGTTGAAATGTATTCATGAGGATTGTCCGGGATCTGCGTGGAATCGTTGTCGCCACCGAAAGGAAGTGAGTCTGGAACAACCACCATAGCACCTTTGTTACTATAAGGCCCCAATCTTCAGGATAATGGTAAGCCGAACATCTATCTTCCCACCAAGGAGCTGTGCTGTGGAGTCGCCTGCTGCCGAACCTGCATCCTGCTGGGGACAGCTGCTGCAGTCCTGGGCTGCTGCACTTTATAGCACGGTAGTTTAGGGGTTTGGGGTTTAGGGGTTTATATTTCATCAAGGAGGGGTTGCTATACAGTTATAGGGTATATGACTTTCAGGACATCAATCATCTATATGGCTTGCTTTTGTTCAGCATGCTTCGTCTTTCGATGGTTCTTTTCATTTCTATATGGTAGCATCGTGCCATAAAGCTGTGTTGGGCTTACAAGCTACTTGTGGAGGTTATTTGGGATGTTTTCAAAGCTTCAGGGATGATAGGGTTCAGGTTTTGAGATTCATGTGTATAGGGTTTAGCACATATATATATATATACAAATACGGTTTAACATAAATCAATGTTGGCAGAAACGAAACATAAAGTCCCCAGGGTTAGAGGCCAGAACCCCAAAGCTACATCATCCTAATGCCGTGAAGCATCGTACCCCTCGCTATCAAACCACGAAGCACACCGGCCAACTGCTCCCTCGTGCTGTTGGCCAAGCGAAGCTCCTCCTCATCGGACGACATGATCTCCTCGCAAGCAAACAGCCCTAAACTCCACAGCCCGAGGCCTAAACTCTTGAAGCCACAGCCCTCTAACCTGAACAACCAACATCTAACCCAAGCCACATATAAACTCAGCAAGTCCTATAGGCCCCAAGACCCCAAAGTTAGAACATCCCAAGTCGCCCCCAAATCCCAGGCGCTTTCAAAACTTAGGAAGGGGGCTCTAAAAATAGGGATTCGGGTTTAGTTTTTAGGGTTAAGGGTTTTTAGGGTTTTAAGGTTTAGGGTTCAGAGTTTTTAAGGTGTTTAGGGTGTAGGGTTTAGGGCATTTAGGGTTTAGGGTCAAGGGTTTTTAGAGGTTTAGGGTTACTGTAAGCTCGGGTTTAGGGTTAAGTGGGTGTGTGCATAAGAAGGTTTGTAGGGCAATGCTCATGCAACCAAAAACCCTCATAAATCGAATGCTCTCCCGGCCTCAGCATCATAAGCAACGACAGCCTGCGAAGATGTAGCAGCATCCTGTCAGGAATGGACCAATCCCTATAGAAGTGTGTGTGTGTGTGTGCGTGTGTCTGTTCCTGTGTCTGTGCTATCGCTATAAAGTTTCACCGGCTGTATGTCCTTTGCCAACGGTGAAGTCTCCGCCACGAGTGATTGGGATGCATTCTCCACTGGTGCTGCTTCTGAAGTCTCCAACACGAGTGATTGGGATGCATTCTCCAATGGTCCTGCTTCTGAAGTCTCCAACACGAGTGATGGGGATGCATTCTCCAATGGTCCTGCTTCTGAAGTCTCCAACACGAGTGATGGGGATGCATTCTCCGATGGTTCTGATGCTTCTGAAGTCTCCAACACGAGTGATTGGGATGCATTCTCCAAAGGTGCTGCTGCATCTGAAGTCTCCAACACGAGCAATTGGGAGTCAACGAATGAGGGCAAAGCGGATGCCGATGATGCACCAGGCTTGCCATTGTCCTGGGAACACAGGAGACACTTATCCACAAATAAATCAATCTGGAACCCATTTCCCCCCCCCCCGATTCTAGAGCTTATAGAATAGTTTGGGTTTCAAGGTTTAGGGCACCGAAAACAGATTAACTTAATTTGCGAACCCTGGCAAGTCCTTCGTTGCGGGGGCTGCTTCAACTTCCTGATCGGGCAGGGTCGGCGAGTTCAAAGCTATCATACTTGGTATGTCGGTGTGTACGAAATCAAGAACTCTTTCTGAAAAGGTGAGAGAAAGCTTAAGGTAGGATAAGGCCTATGTAGGGTTAAGGGTTTCGGGTTGAGGGTTTAGGATATGGCCTATGTAGGGTTAAGGGTCTCGGGTTGAAGGTTTAATACATACGAACCCGTGCCTCGTCACTCAAGAAACCCAGGTCCACGAGCAGCTGCCGGGTGGTTTGGTCCTATAGAGGACTCTTGCCACTAGCATACCTTTATGTGGCTTTTGGGGGTTTGTTGTTTTTCCATGCGGTCTAAATGCTAACTTTTGCGAAGCATGGTCCTCCAGCCAAGACTTCTTTGATTTGTTCTTCTTCAACAAGGCTATCAAGTGTCGAATGGCCCAAGCTTGATTGTACACCGTGGTTCCCCTCAGGGAAACCTTGTTGATATCCAACACTGCTTCCACTTGTGACATGAGTCTGTCTATGTTGGGAGGGCAGCCGTACACTGCGATGATTTTGCACACAGGGCTAAGGACTTTGGCATTCCACCGAACATTGTGCACCGTAGTGTCCACTTTGTAATTGAAAATCTTCCGAAGCTTCGGCGAATAATGCACCAGAAGATTGCACTCCGAACGAAGTCGGCTTCTGATCTCGGGAATATCGTCCCAAGACCCAGAAAGACCGTCCAATGGATAATCGCAACCCTTGAGCTCCCCAACCTGGTCCTGCAATGCCATGCTGTCGGCCATGGCCAAAGCTGAAACACTCTACACAAGTCCTTGAAACACAAAATGCGCCTGCACCAGGAGCATGCAGCTCTTCCGAAATGAGCAAAAGCGATTTCACCGTGCCACCGATCATCTTGTAGGCGAGGAAAACGACATCATCAGGAGTAGGGTTTAGCTTCGATTTCTCTGGTTGTTTGCACTCTTCTTAGAGTTTATGGTTTTTGGGTGTGGGGTTTCTATAAGGCTTTCCAGTTGTTTAAGGCTTCGGGTTTAGGTTTTATGGGGGTTTAGGGGTTTAAGGTTTATATAGGGTCCTGTGGGTCAAACTGGGCAGTAAGTAAGGGCAGCAGTCGAGCCCCGTGTGGGAAACAGGGTTTATATAGGGGTTCTATATATTTATATGCGTGTATACAAGGTTTCTAACGTTTTTGGTGGTGTTTAGGGTTTCCGGGTTATATAGGGTTTGTTGGGCTCAGGGTTTATACTACACAAGTGATTTGGAAGGGGTACGAACTGATACAGACGAAGTGTTATAGACCATCAGTGCAAGGTTCTGCTCGTGCAGCTTACAGCGGCGATGTTCGCATAAAGTCGCCCTGCAATCCCCCCCCCCCCCCCCCCCC